ACACAAACAAAGATGTTGTGTCCGCCAATAACTAAAAAATAAATATTAAAAAAAATGTTCTCTCTCTCTCTCTCTCACTCTCTCTTTAAAAAAAAAAAAGAAAGAAACTACACTAAGCATATTACATTAACTCATTTAATTCACCTAGTATCTCCAGGGGATAGAAATGGTTATTTCCATTTTTCCAACCAAGAAATTGATACTTGCAGATATTATAAGTAGATCAAAGACAATCAAAAGATACTGGAGCTGAGATTCCATCTGCAGTTTGTCTTACTCTGAAGTCACACTCTTAACCTTCATGCCATATCTCCTCCCACAAATATTAGGCTGTGTTCAACTTAAATCTTAGATCTTTTTTTTTTCTTCTTCTTCTCATGTGATTTTAATATGTTGAGTCTCTTCAAGACTGGTCTTTTGCAGCTGAGTTTTAGAATGGGACCTGGTATTGTATTCCTATGCAATTTGATCATACCAGATGTAATCTGGCACATTCTCTCTCCTATTCTGCTTCAACACATCCGCAAATATAATTGGTAAATTATGATTAAGAAGGAGTGCAAACTGGGCACGGTGGTGCATGCCTATCATCCCAGCAGCTCTGGAGGCTGAGGCAGGGGGATCATGAGTTCAAAGCCAGCCTCAGCAATGGTGAGACCCTGTCTCTAAATAAAATACAAAATAGGGCTGGGGTGTGGCTCAGTAGTGAGTGTCCTTGAGTTCAATCCCCAGTACCCACTCCACCCCAAAAAAGAAGGAGTACTGAAACAGAGCCATTAGATCATTCAAGGTGCTTTTGTATCAAGTAATCATTCCCCACTAAGGGGAATGTTCAACCTGTTACCAACTCATAAAATTGAATTGACAGCCAACCACCATTACTTCATCTTGCTGATAACCATTTCTTGAAATATCACATGGTCATCATAGTCAATGTCAACAGTTAAGATCTAGTCTAAGAAAGGTTGTCCCAGAAAGAATTATGCATTGAAGGCTGAAATTGAAGAAATAGGAAAATAGGTGGAGCACCCCCAATCTGAAAATCCAAAACCCAAAATGCTCCAGAATCGGACATTTTATGAGCATGAATGTGTTACCACCAGCGGAAAATTCCGCCTTTGACCTCATGTGATAGGATGCAGTCAAGACAGAATCATGACATTTCCTTCCGTCTATGTGCATGGGGGGGGTACATGAAACAAATGAATTTCACGTTTAGATTTGGGTCCCATCTCAAGAAGTATTCTAAAATCTGAAAGAAAAAAAAAATCTGAAACACTTCTGGTCTCAAGTATTTTGGAGAAGAGATTCTATCTGTTCAGAGTCCAAAGTATTTACATTTTTTTAAGGGAAAAAAATCTCATCTTTACTTTCAGAAGATATTTATGTTGAGGAAATATGGGGAGAGCAGAAGAAAGAGGTGTCCAACAGCTTTCGCTGGAATCAACACTGATCGCTTCCTATCTTCACCCCAACTCCAACACCACACAAGAACCAAGACTCCAAGGGAGACTGTGGTATTCCCACGTAACTCTGTGGCTGGCCAGCCTCCTCCTCTTGCCTTTCTTACCTGCTGGAGCAAGGCGTGACTGTTCCTTCTGCTTTGGTACCTCTGTGAACACTGAGGAAAGGCCAAACATGGGAATTTCAAATGCTTTTGTTTTATTGGAGACTCTGACCTCCCAGACTGCAAGTCTACTTAATGTGAATCCATTCATCAGTCTCATTTCCAAGCCCCACAGAGGGGTGACTTGCGCCTGTGGGAAGAAAAACCTCTGCTTCAAATATAAACAGAGGAGAGCTTGACATGCCAACCACCCTGGCCTGATGTTCTCAGGTTCTCCTCGGACCCTGCTTGAGGACCCCACAGAGCCAGCAGGGCATTCTGGGTGATGGAATGCAAATGGATGCACTGACCCCTGCGGCCTCCCCAGGGCCTCTTGATTCCTGCTCTGTGAGAGCCAGGCCCCGCAGTTTTTAAATTGGGGGAAAGAAGGTGGAGAGAAGGGTGGAGGCTTCCTTCTAGGCCAACCACAACTAACTCTTTCGTCCTGTCCAGCAAATCCCAGACAGTGCAATTATCTGGTTAATTTGGCCCTTGGTTGAGAGACAAGCTCCCAAAATTCAAGGCCAGCTTAGACTAAATAGTGGCTTCCGTCCTAAACCTTTTCCCAAATGCTAGAGGATGCCTGTGAGATTCCTGAGCAGTCACTTAGGATGGGCAAAGAGAAGAGACTCGGGCTCCAAGATGGGCTTGGGAAAATCTATCTTCCAGAGGAAAAATGACCAAATGACCTGCTAATTGGTTTCCTGGCTAATTTACCTTCTGGCTTCCATGGAGAGGCATGGCCGGAAATGAGGATGACTCCATTAGCCAAGGTTTCCCAGCATGATTTTAGCCCTCATGGACCAGCTGTGCGTCTGTCCCCAGGGTCCCTGGGTGAGTTATTCTCATGACAATCCCTTCTGATGCCCCTGCTTAAAGATTTTCTACCTACAAGTTGGGCCAAAGGCAGCGCTGAGACGAAAGGGAGATATTAAGACACCCACCTGGGGTTGCCACAAGGGGATGAGACAGGGCCAGCTCAGCTGGCGACCGAGCATGTACCAGATGGTTTACGGAAACCTCAGATTTTTGAGGGAAGATTAAGGCGCGGTGATTTATCGCTTTTGGAAACCGACGAGCAGCCTGGAATCTGTGGAATCTATCAGTGATTCATTCTGCAAGTATTTCCCTTAGCTCTCATCTGTGCCAGGACTTGTGCCAGGCCCTGTGCCACTCACAGAGTGGGATCCAGACAGCCAAGCTCCCTAGCCTCATGCAAACGATCCACCCTGGACACTTAGTACAAAACTCAGGTAAGAGCCAGGAAGGAAAAGCTGAGGTGCTTTGCAAAGGAGTCACCAGGCTACCTGACTTAGATAGGGATGGGAAAAGGAGTCTTTAGGCAAAGGACTTTAACACTTTTAGAGAACAATTTTGTTTGTTTTTTTTTTAGAAAGGCCACTCTAGCCTTTGTATGAAACATAATTCAGAGATGGGTAGAAAGTGTATTAAGAAGCTCATAGGAGGGTGTGGGGACGCAGCTCAGGGGCAGAGGGCTTGCCTAGCATGGGCAAGGCCCTGGGTGGAGGGGGGGAGATGCAGAGTCAGCAGGCTCTGGCGAGTGCAAGGATGTAGAGGTGGAGGAAGAGGGGGGCACCCAGGAGGCTGTGCAGGTTTCTGGCTAAGGTGCACTCATTGAGGTCTACCCATTCTCCAGGGCATCTCCATAGCTCTCCCTGCTGGAGGCCCGGCTCCCTCCCTGGGTAGTGGCCTCTGCTGCCCAGGGCACCAAGTCTGGGCTCCCTGCCCTGACCTTCTGTGCTGAAGCTCTGTGAAGACTCACCGCACCTCCCTTCCTAGACCGCAAACTTTTTTGGGGACGGGGTCCCTGATTTGATCCTCATGCCCTGCATGAGCAGCTAGTGCAGTAGACACTTGACAAATATTTGCAAAATGAACAAAAATAAACTGCTTTTCTTTTTTTATGAAGGAAAACCAGTAGACATTGGATCCACTTGAAAGCCACAGGATCACATTGAAATTCAAACCGTAGGTGCTTTGCGACGAAGCCAATTCAATTTGATGCTCAGAGGGCCCTTTCTCTCTCTTTGCCATACAAGGCTCCAAAAGTGCAGGGAGAGAAAAAGTCATGACCCCCTGCCCCAGGTTTTAAAAATTGTGCTTCTCCCAAATAATTTTATACCAGGTCCTTATCTCTCTTACTCACCGTTTGCCTTTGATGATGATGAAGAGGAGGAGGAAGGAGAACTAGGAGGAAGGGGAGGGGGAAGAGGAGCATTTATGAAGTGCCAGTGTATACCGGGCACTCTCCTAGGCTCTCTTTATGCACTAGCTCACTCCCAGCACCCCATGAACATAGGTATATGCTGCTATCACCCCAAGAGTCCAGGTGAAGAGCTGGAGAGAGCTTTTTTTTGCTGCAGCAGCAATGTCACCAGCTGGTTAGGGGTGGCATTGGGATTCAGAGCCAGAGGATGCCTCCAGAGTCCGGGCTCCAGTGTGCTCTCTAAGGCCAGCAGAGTGCTCGCAGTAAGGAGGTGCTCAGTGGGAGGAACCCCTCATCTGGACTAAAGGGACCAGAAACTTCTAGTCCTGATTCTGCCACTGATTTCCTATGCACCCTTGAGCACATCTGTGGTTTTTTCCCACATAAAACAAGGGACCCGGAGGGGCACAGTGGCGCACACCTGTAATACTAGCCTCTGAGGCAGGAGGATCACGAGTTCAAAGCCAGCCTCAGCAAAAGTGAGGTGCTAAGCAACTCAGTGAGACCCTGTCTCTAAATAAAATACAAAATAGGACTGGGGATGTGGCTCAGTGGTCGAGTGCCCCTGAGTGCAGTCCCCAGTACCCATCCCCAGAAAAAAAGGGAGGTGGCTGGATATTGATAGCTGGCCATAATAAGAGCTAGTATTCTTAATTCTGTTCTTTCTCAAGGTTTTAAGTAATTAAGTTCCAACAACAATTTAAAAAATTGAGGCACAGAGAGATGAAGTCATCGGTTCAAACCTGGAAAGCGAAGAGCACCAGGATTCAAACACGTCACCCTCCGAAACTATACTCCCCATCGACGTGGTTCTAAGGAGATGTCTCCAGGACCATAGGGAACAGGTTGGGGTAGAGATGAGATAGAAATACTTTGGGGGTCTCTCTGCCCATGGACATCAGAACAGCTCAACTTGCCTCTGTTTGTAGAATGAGCTCCTACTTTGTATTTCCTGCGAAGAAAAGTTGTGCTGCTAAAACAAAAAAGGTGGAAGTGGCTGGACCAAATAATTCTGGGATTTAATGAGACTCCCAGGTATACGCAGGATTTTTTCTGGCCATCATAGTTCATTTTGGCTGCAAAAGGTGGGATCAAGATTCCTCCTGGGAAGGACCCCAGCTTAGAAAAGGGCAGGGTGGTAGAGCTCAGGACTCCACTCCCACCTACCTGTTCCACTCGGATCTCAATCTCTCCATTCACCCTCTTGCCATGGAAATACTTGGACCTGCAAGGAGAGGAATAAATCGACTGAGTAAGGTTGCAGACTGCTCTACTGCTTCCTCCCAAAGGCCTTACCCAAGAAGTGCCTGCCGCCTTCCCTCTCACCGCCCCTCTTGACTGATGACTGCCCCAGTGGATGGAAAGAGAACAGGCGGAAGATGGAAGACTCAGAATTTTGGTGCTGTCAAACCACTTGACCTCCCTATGTCCCAGTTTTATCCTTTGCAGAAGAAAGCTGTTAATTGATTGGGTTATTCATTTTTTTAAAAAATAATAGCTACACTATGGAACCAATCTAGGTGCCCTTCAACGACGAATGGATGAAGACATTGTGGTATATACACACAATGGAATATTACTCGGCCTTAAAGAAGAATGACTTTTGACTTTTGCTGGCAAATGGATGGATCTGGAAAACCAAAGGCTGAATGTTCTCTCTGACATGCAGATGGCTAACACACAGTGAGGGGGTGGAGGGAAGAATAGAAGTTCACTGGATTAGACAAAGGGGAACGAAGGAAATGGGAGATGGGAGTAGGTAAGACAGTAGAATGAATCAGACATAACTTTCCTATGTTAAATATGAATACACCACTGGTGAATGAAACATGTTCAATCACAAGAATAGGATCCTGATTAGAATGAGTTATACTCCATGTTTAATATGTCAAAATACACTCTATTGTCAGTATATCTAAAAACAACATATAAAGACCTCCCCACAAAAAAGATATTAATAGGCGTGCAACATATTTCTAAGGTTTATCTTAAAAATTAAATGAGATAATATTTACAGACACAGGGTTCAAGCTTGTAGATTAGAAGAAAGCCGCATTTCTAGCTGCTCCATGGCTCAGGACTGAAGTAGTGGAAGCTGTGCTTCTCAGTGAGGTAAGTGAAAGCGAGGATTCACTGAAATTTAACTCTGGGCACTCAGAGTATCTTAGAGACTCAGAAATTTGAGTGCTTTGAATAAAGAACAAGAAAGAGCACCTTGGAGCCGATCCAGCTGTGGCAGAGGTGGCAGCAGTGGTGCCGGTCACCATGGAGGGGAAGGATAACGCACAGAGGGAACACACGAGGCAGGTGCCGCACGGACAGACCCACAGACTAGAAAGGCCCACAGACTAGCAGCCTGCACTTAGCTGATCCAAGGGCTGGAGAGTGAACCTGTGTTTGGAAAGTGCTGTGTGTTTCTCAACTGGCAAGTGCAGAGCTGAGCTGGGGGCCAATCTGAGGAGGCCACGCTGCAGCTGCTGCAGGAGGTCGCAGCAAGCCCTGCCATACTGTCCCGGCTGGTGCCTACCCTGTGGCCCGGGGTGCGCGGAGCAGTGAGTGAGTGAAACGGGCACAGAGGAGATCACATCCGGGGTCAATCAGAAAAACAAAAGGGAGCACAGCTTTGCCTTTGAGTCCGGTGGCTCATGGGACCAGATGAAGGGGCCAGGGAACGGATGAGGCAGGTGTGGACATACTCAGGGACTCATCCTGGGAAGGTTGTCTTCGTGGGCAGCAGAATGTGGAGAATGGGCTCCCTTACCCTGGGAACAGAATTCTCAGGAGGCTCCTGAGGTCCAGACTCCCAGCTGAGGCTGGCCCCACGGGTGTGTGGATCTAATCTCTCTGGAGCAGGCACCACCCAGTGAAGTTCAAAGTCCCACCCCCTGGAATTCCCCTCAGAGAACCGTGCCACAGCCCCACCCGGAGCGCATCCCTCGGGTCTGTGTGAACAGACTCCAATCCCTGGCTCTTCCCACTTTGTCCTACCTTACACTGGTAAGAAGGGAAGATAAGAGCTATTTCAATGGGCCTCTTTTAGGCCACTTGAGCTGGCAGCTCAGTGAGCAACAACCACACAAAAGAAAAAAAATAAAGGAAGAGGTCGACAATGTCCTGTCCTCCCACCCCACCCCCTCAACAGTCCAAGGAGAGATGGAAAGGAGGACGGCCGGGCCTAGGAAGTGACCACTTAGTGACCGTTTAGACCAGCTCAGTGAAGACGACTCTTCTATTTTTCATTAAGAATCTTTCCTTTCTTTTTATTTATTTTTTTGTTGGTGTTTTTGATGTGTGGATAGCTTCATGGACATAGGCATATGTATACTCTCATGCTTCTTTGTTTCCTCATTTTTTTACCATATTTTATGATGCATTTCCTTGCAATGTCTTTTGAGAGTTAGGATTTGGGTTGTCTTATTTTTGTGTTGGTTTGGGTCTGAATGATTCTCTTCTCTCCTTTTTTCTCCGACCAACAGCCACATTCCTCTCGTTCTCCCTTGCTTTACTTCGTTTTCTTATTTTTTCTCCTCCATCATGTGCAGCAACTCCTCTGCAATCTCTCTGTTCACATTTTGAGCATTCTGAGCTTTCTTCTACCTCTTTAGCATATTATTGTCATTTTCTACTAATGATCTATATTTCTACCATCTTTTAGAACTATTTGGTTTCACTGTCTTTTAGAACAATAGCTCCTGCTCCCACCATTAAAGTTGTTGCAATTATCAGTGCTGTGAGTGACACAGCTGACACCTGCTGTTTACTTTAATGTCACATCCAGTTCATGGTTATTTATTGTTTTTGCTGTCAGCAATTGCTGACCCAGCCATTCCTGTTTTTGTGGTGATTCGGGTTATGCATGTCTTACTAGGCACCAGGTATTTATTTCAATGCTGTCTACTGTTGGCTTCGATTGTTGCTATTATTGGTTTTCTACTTTTCTGTGAGGTGCTGGGAATCTACAGGCACAATACAAGCTCACAGGGTAGACTCCTTGACTGAACTGATCCCAGCCAAAAGACAGCACACCTCCCTCCATACAAAAATTAACCACCTGAAACTTCAGCTATACTTTAATACAAAGAATAGAAGAGACAAAAATCCAAATTAATAACCTGGCCCCAAGTAGGAACAGTTAGAGATGGACCCTCGGGTGAATATGGACATTCACTCCTACAGCAAAAACAGAGACAATTAAGACAAAGGCTGTAGATACCATACCTACAAGGGGTCTTACTCTAGATCATTCTAGGTTACTTTGGCAAATGAAGATTGTGCCCTAAAAAGTCCTACATGTAAGAGGAGCAGAAAAATCTCTTCCAATAGACGCATGAAACCCAACATAGGAATCCAAGAAATATGAAAAAACAAGGGAACACAATGCTTTCTAAAGTTCATGATTCACTAGCAACTAACTCCAAAGATACTGAAGTGGATGAAATATAAAAATTCAAAAGAATGATTATAAAAATGATCAGTGAATTTCAAGAGGAAACAGAAAAACAACTGAATGAAAGAAGGAAGTCAGTACTGGAAACAAATGAAAAATTCAATAAGGAGACAGATATATTGAAAAAGAAGCAAACTTCTTGGAAATGAAAGACCCAATAAATCCAATAAAATGTTCAGTTAAAAGTCACTCTAACAGAGCAGAACCTGCTGAAGACAGTTTCTCAGAGATGGAAGACAAAGTGGCCAACATTGAACATTTGGACAGTATTAAGGAAAATAAGAAACCCTGAAGAGAACATATAAGAACTCTTGGACAACTTTAAGGGACCAAATTTAAGGATCATTGAAATTGAAGATGTTTGTGTGATACAGACTCATGGAATGGATAACCTCTTTAGGAAAATAATAACAGAATGATTTCAAAATCTTGAGAATGAGCTGAATATCCAGACACAGAACACATTCAAAATCCCAAATAGACAAGATTGAACAAGAATCTCTTCATGACACATTATAATTAAAATGCCTAACATAGGGAACAAGGATAGAATTTTAAAAGACTTAAGAGAAAAATATCAGGCCACATTTAGTGGCAAGCCAATTAGAATTGCTTTTGATTTCTCAGTATAAACTGTAAAAGCCAGGAGAGCTTGAAATGATGTGTTCTAAGCTCTGAAAGAAAATAACTGTCAACTAAGATTGCTACATTCAGCAAATCTTTCCTTCAGAGTTAAACAAGAAATAATCCCCCCCAAATAAGTAAAGACTAAAAAAAAAAATCATGACTACTAAGCTAAAATAGTCACTATAGAAAAGATTTAAAGAAATATTCCACCCAGAGCTCACAAATGAACAATCTCATTTGAAGAGTAGCTAAGCAAATGAGAAACAGGACCAAATCAAACATTAAAAATAAAGCAAAATGGTGGGAATGAATAAACCTCCCTATAAAATAACATTAAATGTAAGTGCTCTCAACTCTCCAATTAAAAGACATAGACTGGCAAAATGAAATTTAAAAAAGATGCAACTATATGTTGTTTGCAAGATACTCATCTTACCGGCCACAGGCTATAAGTGAAAGGATGGAAAGTAATATACAAGATAAATGGAGACCCCATAGCTACTCATGCTTGTATCAGACAAAGCAGAGCTCAAAGCAAAATTAATCAGAAGAGACATAAAAGGGTATTTATACTAGTAAAGGGAATAACCCAACAATAAAATATAATTACAGTAAATATTTATGCCCCAGATGTTAGTGTATCTAATTACATGAAACAGACACTACTTGAATTAAAAACTCAGACTGCGGTACAATAATACTGGCTGATTTCAACATATCTCTCTCACTAATATAGGTCTACAGACATAAACTCATTAAAAACTCTTTGAACCTGAAAATATTGTAAATCAATGTACTTAGCAGACATCTCTTAAATATTTTATCCAACAACAGCTTAAATATACATTACATTCTTCTTAAGCAGCTTATGGAACCTTCTCCAAAACAGACCACATTATAAGCCACAAAGCAATTCTTAGCAAATACCAAAAAAAAAAAAAGTTGATATAATTCCTTGCATTTTATCAGATCATAATGGAAAAAAATATTAGAAATCAGAACAAAACCAAAAACAAAACACCAAATTCTACAGAATTAGCACATGAAGATTGAACAATGTACTTTTGAATGATGAATGGGTATAGAAGAAACCAGGAGAGAAATTTTAAAATTATTAGAATCAAATGAAAATAGTGATACAAGGTACCAGG